ACTGGTGGTGAATTAACTAGTTTAGGGGACCCTCTTTCGCCCCCACTCCCCAAAAAGATAGGAGTATACAAACCTATTGAATATTAGTAGCTATAAAATATTTTCTACAAAGTGAAAGAGAAGGTCACACTGCATTAAACAAGAGCAATCACTTTATTTTGTAGAGTAACGTGTTTTTTCACACGTAACGATATATGTAGTGATTTAGATGCTCCGTTGAAGCATGTCGGGAAACCGTATAGTTTTATTTTGACACAGTTTTACAAACATACACTTTAGCTCCGCTTCTCATAGGTTTGTGCTGCCCTCTTCAAATCAACAGGTTTTTAGTTAGATCGTGAAATTCACCGGCTCCTGAGCTTGGGACTGCACACTTAGATTTTATGTTCCTGCAACCATTTCCGTGTTATATTGATGTATCATTGGTTTCATTGTCTTATTGAATGGTCAGTCTGTGGTTAAGGTTTAGCCTTTGGTCAGAGACAACCTGGGTTTGAGCTAAAATATTCTGGTACTTAGTGGAATTCGTTATACCTTTCATTTTAACAAGAGCCCTAAAGCATCAATAATCCACTGCCCTGTTTTACTGTGAGGCTTTGATGCCAGACATGCCGATGGTGTGCATCGCCTCAAAGTTCAATTTTGCTCTCATCTGACAACACAATTACAGTCGCAGTCTCACTGACGCTTGGAAGTTCAGGTTCTGCGATTTGTGGATTTCTCTGAGTAAGGATTTCTTTTGTGCAGCCCTTACAAAGTGTTTGCTGGTATGGCGGTGCATGTAGTAGCTGATTCTGAAATTGGATAACCCCAAGATTCCAATAAGCTGTGCTATTGTGAAGCTTTGTTCCTTGGATTCTTCGTTGCATTCCTCTCTGTGCTTGGGGGCGATATGGACATGTATTCTCATGGCAAACTTAAGACTATTACAGGCCAGATGTTTAGTAGTATAATTCTGCATATGTCACAATGTACAGTGTATTAAGTGATGATGTATCTGGGGCCCTGTAAGGGCAGGTCAGTCCGTGCTAACCTCTGTCCACTGTCAAAAGCTCCTACAATGGGCACCCAAGCATGGGAACTGAATCTTTGAACAATAGAATAAGGCTGCTGAATCAGATTAATCATATTTTCTGTTGCATCTTGTGGACTTTCAGGTGTGCATCAAGCATGTGTTTGATGTGTTGGAACTGGAGTTTAGATCCATGGCTATGTGGCAGGGCTTGATGCTCTGTCTCATGACACATTACTCCCGTAAGCACCATCAAAATTATCTGCCATTTGTGCCACGGTATCCCTTCTGCTGGTTTGTACCAGACGGGGTAGCCTTTGTTTACATCTCATATCGACGATTCTTTTACACCCAATACCCTTTCGGCGTTTGGTGGTTTTACCCTCGGACGGCTCTCAGTAAATACTCGCTGCGGCTGACCATGAGCACCGCACAAGCTTTGCCATTTCAGAGATGCTCTGACTCAGTTACCTGGCCATAATGTTTTGACCCATATTAAAGTCACTCAAGTTTTTAGCTGTGCCATTTCTTCTGCATTCACCACATACACTGTGAGTACTGAGTGTTAGCTTGCCATCTAATATATCCCAGACCATCTAATATATCGCAGACCCTGAAATGCAGGGTTTTGCGAGACAATTATTTTTATTCACTTCACATGGGGTTGTTTGTGTGTGTGTAATTTTAATATCCATTACAAGATCTCTGTAAGTAAACGATTACCTGTCACTTTTTCAGTTGAGCTTTTTGAATTCCCCTGTGGTGGTAACTGACAACAGGTTATACCCCAGATTGTTGACTAAAATCCCCTCCTCTGTGAAAATTTACTGAGGGCGAACCCCACCCCCCACCTGCCGGCAGAATGTACAGGCCTGCCAAGCCCCTTTTCAAGTCACTGGCCTCAAATATGTAATTCCTACTAATACAATGTTATCAATTTAATGTATGTTTGCACAAAGGAGTAACAAATTAATGTAATTTTAATGAGGTTGTTGGTGTAACTAGGGCACTTATTGTTCTGTGTTTTATTATTATTATTTATTTATTTTTTGTGCACCTGGCCAGCAGGTGTTGTTATTAAAATGTTTTGCCAAAAAAGGGCCTGGTGCCCCCCTCGTTGTACCTGTCATTTGAGGTGCATTTTACATTTCTGGTTTACATCACTGACCAGTTGTGGGAAGTGACATTACTGTGGTACTCCAGGTGCAGGTAGTGGAATAGCAGTTTTACACCAAGCATCCTATGTGCTTTTTCAGGAAGTTGCTAGTTATGGCCAGTCTGTTGTATACTGCTTACGGACCTGAGCTGTAACACTGTTTTAATACTATCTGAGTGCTTAACCTGCATTTCTTCAGTAAATGTCCAACTGTATAAAGGGGTACAAATAATGTACGAAACAGCTACTATAATGTAAATTATAGTACAAATATGCTTCAAATATAAATGCCCAATAGGGCTGTGCAATAGCACCAAAATCTCATATCCCGATAACGATACGTATCACGGTTGCACCTCGTATTTTTTTCTACAGATCAGCTGAGGTAGGAATTGGACAAAAATCTACAAATGAAAGGGAGCCAGGTCACAAATGTAATGCAGTTCACAAATAGAAGGGAAGTGATCCAGAAATATGAAAAACCTTTTTCACATGTGCAAATTGCTCTGTATTTTAGGCGATATGATTTTACACACCACAGATAAAAATCCATATTTGTGGATAGTGATGCTTCATGATTTTTTTTTTCTTCTACAGATCAGCTGTGGTAAGAGCAGCTATTTTTTGAAATAGTTTTGCATTCCCTCGCAATACTTTTTCATTACTAATAATAATTGTACTGTGTCCGTTTAAACCTTGCAATACTTTTCTGTTACTTATAATATCTGTGCTATGTCTGTTTAAAGTACAAAGGATAGAATTAATGGACTAATACGTATAAACCTAAACAATAGAGACATGTCCAGTCAAGTGTATTTTAAGTATTACACTATAGGGGACAATGTACTCTATGGAGCTTTCATATATGTGTTTTTATACGTGCCCTCAGTGACAAAAGACCGGTAAGCTCCCAGAAGTAAGTCCGATTTGGATGTAATTTGGTACACGTTGGGAGTGGTGCCATAGCTGGGAGGCATGTACTGATGACGAGTGGTGTTGTACCATGTTCAATGATGAATCTTGGTTCTGCATTACCACAGATGACCGTCATGTGCGTGTATAGTGGCGCTGAGGGGAGAGAACCAATCCTGCAAATGTTGTGGAGAGACACACTGGTGTTACTCCTGGCATCATGGTGTGGGGAGCCATAGGGTATGACATCATGGTGTGGGGAGCCATAGGGTATGACATCATGGTGTGGGGAGCCATAGGTATGACATCATGGTGTGGGGAGCCATAGGGTATGACATCATGGTGTGGGGAGCCATAGGGTATGACATCATGGTGTGGGGAGCCATAGGGTATGATTTCAGGTCATCTCTGGTAGTGATTCAGGGGATCCTGACAGTACAGCGCTACGGCAGTGACATCCTGCGTCCGCATGTCTTACCCCTCCTGAGACAGTACCCTGGTACAGTTTTTTCAACAAGACAACGCCCGTCCACTCTTGGCATGTGTGTCTGTGGACTGCCTGCATCATGTTGAGGTCCTGCTGTGGCCAGCCAGGTCCCGATTTTCCCCAATCGAACATGGGATCAGCTCGGGCATTGTCAGACCCAGTGCCATTCTGTAGGATCTCCAGGACCAGTCACAACAGCTGTGGGCCAACTTGCTGCAGGAGAGGATACAACGTCTGTATGACTCGCCGCGTGTATCCAGGCCCGGGGGGGTGCCACACCTTACTGGCATGGGACCAGCAGTGTGTCCATCCTGCCAATTCTGCTGTCCGTTTGATCTGATGTTATAATTATTGTAATAGTCATATGACCTTTCACCATGTGCAGATTCATTTAATTTCCGCCACTCCATTTTTTTGTCACTGGGTGTATTAATTAGTAATTGCGCTGTGTCCATTCACTGACAGTAAACAAGACAGCTGGGCTATTGAACGTGAAGTGCACATGCAAACATTGAAATATTAATTAAAATCTGCCCAAAAACAAACCTGGTAAACCAACGGGTCTCCTGGAAAACTGAATGTATTAGTTAACTTTACTACAATGTCAGCTGGGGTTTAAACCCGAACACACTTTCGGGTATGCCTCTCTGGTATTCTCGCTTGATGAGAATTTTTTTGAGAATATGTTAAGTACATATTTGTGGATAGTTATATATTTGTGGATCATGGTACATATTTTTGGATTGTCTTCTGTGGGTTACAAATAATAAAGTCCAATAAAAATGTAAAAAAGTGCCACATCCCATGTGCTTGCAAAATTCATCCAAATGATGGAGGAATGTTACTCCCTCTCCTTCATTGGTACATTTCATGATAAATCCCGGTGGTTACTTGAGGAACTTTAACTGTGGCCTCTCACTTACCTGTTCTTGGAGTTCTGTCCACACATGACTGTCAAGGTTGTTCTGCAGGTGATACTGATTGTTTGCAGAAATGGTCAAGTGCCCAGACCTTGCAATGTCAGAAAGTGGTGTGTGTATTACAGGGTTTGGGCTGGCATGTTTCACTAATGTGTGTGCAATCCCACCAATGGCAGGAGCACTGCTTTGGGCTCTGTGTCTCGGAGGGCTAAGACACTGTGCCCATGATCGCCAATTCGCATCCCTTGGGTGGCAGACTGATGCCACCACTGGGTCCTGGACTACCCAGTTTCCTTACTGGGATGAATAAAACATCATTATCGTATGACAGTGTGCTTTTGTTTTTAGTCATTTTGTGTTTATTAATTTCTTCTTATGCTTAATTAGATTATGTCTTATTGTGGAGGAGGTTGACATCCATATGAAACCAAAATTTGATGAAACTGTTTATGAAGTATAACTGCCGGGTTCCGCCAGCATGAATTTAAAACTTGTTGCTTTTTCTGTGTCCAGCAGGGTGGCAATGGTTGTGGCATGACAGAGGGCGTCACGCTGTACAGGCCGAGCACAGCAGTATGGAGGCAGTTCAGTCGGTCACTGTGGGCATCAAGAGTGAACACCTGGAGGAGCTAGGGTCCATGATGACAGCGATGCAGGATGTGGGAGACAGCTGCCCAGCTCACGGTAAACTGTCTCCGAAGTGTAGCTGGGCATCATCGCTGGATGTGGGCCACAGAACTGAGCCGGAGCCTGTCGGTGACATTGAGGCTTCACCCAATGGCCTAGGCTGGGATGGAAGCCCCCGAGATGGGGATGTGGTGCAAATAGAGCCCAGTAACAACTGCAACACACCAGATGCTACAAGTCCAGCGGCGTCCAGCAGTTACACTGGTAAGCGGAATCATAGTGCCTCACAGTTATATTTTACAGTTGTATCTTTCATTTGTCATTGTTCCTTAGTTACATCTTACAGTTACACTGGTAAGCGGAGTCATTGTGCCTTAGTTACATCATACAGATACACTGGTAAGCGGAGTCATGGTGCCTCACAGTTACATCTAATAGGTACACTGGTAAGCGGAGTCATTGTGCCTTAGATACATCATACAGATACACTGGTAAGCGGAGTCATGGTGCCTTACAGTCACATCTAATAGGTTCACTAGTAAGCGGAGTCATGGTGCCTCACAGGTATATCTTTCAGTTACACTGGTAAGCGGAGTCATGGTGCCTCACATGTATATCTTTCAGTTACAGTGGTAAGCGGAGTCATGGTGCCTTACAGTTACATCTAATAGGTACACTGGTAAGCGGAGTCATGGTGCCTCACAGGTATATCTTTCAGTTACACTGGTAAGCGGAGTCATGGTGCCTCACATGTATATCTTTCAGTTACACTGGTAAGTGGAGTCATGGTGCCTTACAGTTACATCTAATAGGTACACTGGTAAGCGGAGTCATGGTGCCTCACAGGTATATCTTTCAGTTACACTGGTAAGCTGAGTCATGGTGCCTCACAGTTACATCTGAAAGGTACACTGGTAAGCGGAGTCATGGTGCCTTACAGGTATATCTTTCAGTTACACTGGTAAGCAAAGTCATAGTGCCTGACAGGTATATCTTTCAGTAACACTGGTAAACATAGGCCCAATCCCATTTCTCCTCCCTTAGCCCTACCACGTTTTGAGGGCCCTCCCTTCTGAAGTTGACTTCACAGATCGTAGCCACAAGGGGTAGGGCTTGAAATCTTTAACTAGGAATCGGGACACCACTCGCTTATGAGCTGCCTGGTTTGCTCGGGAGTCCCTGGAATAGTACAACATGCTTATAACATGGACAAGTCACTTTAACATTACAACATGATTATACCACTGACATGTCCCTAGAATATTACAGAATGATTATGACACTGTCGATTTGTGGATTAGCATTCCTTTGGCAATGGCACGCATTTAAAATTAAGCATATTGCATGCAATATTTCTATAAAACATGCACACGTTTTGCATAAACAATGTGTCAGGAACAATGTCTTTTACATATTGCACGATGTAAAATAATGCACTTAGAAGACTATTGCACGAAACACAGAAAACATTCGGGGGTGAGTTTCCCAAAAGTGTCGTAGCCAAAAAACTACATAAAAAGGACTTTGAATGCTCTCCCTCTGAATAAATACATTCTTAATTCTTCGACGGTTTTGTGAAACTCACCCCTGCTCGGTTCTTTTTCTATAAATACTAGAGATACTGCTCTGTCTATACGCACGGAATTAGCGATTTTCAGAAAATTGTTTTTAAAAAATTCAACCTACTCAATACTTTAATGCTAAAATTTGATTTTTTTGCAATCGTATTTATAAACATATGAGCTTCATTCCACACACCGCTAGCCATCTTTTCTTGTTGTGTATTGCAATGCATTGTGGGAATTTTCTTCTTTCACTCGGTTTTGAGTCAGCATCTGAAAAATCTCCGTTTAGAGGGCTATCTTGAGGGCTGAACACCACTACCCCTCGCTGCTAAAAAGAAATGGGACAACACTACCCTACGCGGGTACGCGCCAAATGGAGGGGTAGGGCTAAGGGGTAGGGCTAAGTGGGGGTATTCGGATTGGGCCATAGTCATAGTGCCTTCACGCGATGGGCACTGGCATCCCACGTTTACTCTAACACAGGGGTGACCAATCTTATCCGCAAAGGGCCGGTGTGTGTGCAGGTTTTTGGGATAACCTGTAGGTCAGCTGTTCAAACCCAGGTGTGAGGAGGACTCAGCCAATCAGCCCTCTAATTAGTAATCAGTTAGAGGGCTGCAGCGAAAACCCACATGCACACCTGGATAAAATTGGCCACTCCTGCTCTGACATTTCTCAGTCATTGTGAAAAAGGATATTTCAATAGGGAGGGTATGTTTCAGTGATTCCCAGCTGTTCCTACAGATAAACTCATTATGGAGCCTCCAATAAAGTACCAGTTTCATCATCTATAACTGAAGCACTTCACAGGCTTTTCAGGTGCCCAGCAGACATTAGCTGGACTCTTCCTGCTGATTATTTTTCTTTTTCTTTTCTTTCTCTGGCCCTTTCTCTCTCTCTACTTTCTTTCTTTCAGGTGTGGGTGAGTCAGTGTGTGAGGCAAGTGTGCGTCACCACTCATGTGAGCTAGTTGAGTTGGTTTCCTTGGCTACTCCAACCAGTTTTTCCTGATTTTTAGCCCATGAAAGTGGCTCAAAGGCGAAGCATCGAATAGATTTTAAAGTGCTTTCTTCGACATTTTTTACACACTCTCTGTAAGTCAGAGGTAACGAGCGGAGCCTCTGTGTGTGCTGTACTTTATGATTTTAATCTGGCTACAGCTAAGAATTTGTATAGTTGAATCAGATTTCAAGGTCCTTAGAAGACCTGTATTACCAATCGTAATATTAAATCCCAAAGAAACTCCAGTTTGACAATGGTGAGGTTTCCCCTGGACGTGATTGCATATTCTAAAATTGTCCTGGGTGACGTGTGGCTCCGTCAGTTAGGACTCTGTGTCTCTGATCAGAAGGTCGATGGTTCACATCATTTGGTTAGCAAAGTGGTGTCACAATTAGGTCCTTGAGCAAGCCCCCTAAGCACATTTGCTCCAGGAACTGTCTGACCCTGTTTTCTGATCCTTGCTTGTACGTTGCTTTGGACAACATCTTCTGCTAAATAAATATATGCAGATGTAATCGATGTAACCTGGGCATGGCCCTGTTGGCAGGATCTCATGCAGTCAACTATATATTGTACTTATTTATAATATTAGCACTCAATGTACACTATGTAGACAAAATTATTGTACCACCTGGCCATTACACCCACAGGAACATTTATGACATCACATTCTAAACCCATAGCCATTAGTATGGAGTTGGTCCCCCTTTGCAGCTATAACAGCTGCCACTCCTCTGTGCAGTCTTTCCACAAGGTTCTGGAGAGTGTCTGTGGGACTCTTTGCCCATTCATCCATTTGTGAGGTCAGCCGCTGTTGTTGGACATGAAGGCCTGGCTCACAATCACCGTTCTAGTTCATCCCAAAGGTGCTTGGTGGGGTTGAGGTCAGGGGTGTGTGCAGGCCAGTCAAGTTCTTCCACACCAAACTCACCCAACCATGTCTTTAGGGACCTTGCTTTGTGCACTGCAGCACAGTCATGATAGAACAGAAAAGGGCCTTCCCCAAACTGTTCCCACAAAATTGGCAGCATACAATTGTCCAAAATGTTTTGGTATGTTGAAGTATTAAGAGTTCCCTCCACTGGAACTAAGGGGCCCAGCCCCTGAAAAACAACCCCATACCATTATCCTTCCTCCACCAAAGTTAACAGTTGGCATAATACAGTCAGACAGGTAACATTCTCCCTCTTAATGTCTGTGGTTTAAATAAGACAGGTTCCACCAAAAAGCTCTGTAACAATGTTCTAATTATTTTCACCTGATGTGGTGCCACCTGAATCACATTCTAGGAATTTTAAATGGTGATGAATGTGAGGATGTCCTAACATTTTCCTCAGTGGAAATTAGCATCTCAGTTAATTTCTTTTTGTAAATAAGTGAATTTATTTCTTGTTTTTGCATAGATGATGCAGTTACATCTCCTTTATCTACAGATATAATTTGAAAGAAGATTTAATACTAATATATTGATATTTCCTAATAAAGAACTAAATATTTAATTGGGTGTGCTATTTTTTCACATGACTGTAGGTTAATTCTAGGATTAAGGCTGGAAAATCTGATTGTGGATCAGCATAGGAGCTCACTAGTTTTAACATGTTTACATATCCACCCTTTCAGAACTTGCTGTGACCCAAACTTGGATTACGACCCCTGAGTTGAGAATCGCTGGTTTAATAGTGAGATAGTCAGTGTCAGCAAATTTCTGTAGCACAGTTAAGTCTGACGTTTGGGAACATTTCCATGGTGTCTTCTTGTCAAAGAACCAAGTGGCTGCATTAAGTGTAAAAGTTAAAAATATCTCGAGCTAGCGCAAGAACTAGCCAATAGCTGTCTTGCACACCGCAGTGTGTCAGCGAGTGGTACACTTACAGCTTTAAGGTGATGCAGTAATTTAGCTGAGCTAGAAAGGAAATATTTGACCTGACAAATAAACATTTAAATAGACATTTTAAACGTTAAATGTTGGACAACTGAAGACACGACATTTGATTATGAGGTGACAATTTAATGTGAGCACAGTTTCATATCTTGAAACACAGCCTCCTTTAATGTGCAGGACTGGTTGGTTATAGATGACCTCAAGTCAGTAATTCATCTGTCAGCTATGCCTGTTTTAATAGTGTATGCTTGTCAGTATCAGCAAGGGCAGCACTGGACTGTTCCAACTGAGATAAAATGTATCAGCTTTTATACACAAATGTTTAACACCACCTGTGAACTTCACTGGGATCAGCATTAGGTTAATGGATAGATGAATGTTTACACCACTTGTGTAAATCTGTGATGCACCACCCCAACCCCAGATCTGTCGCAGACTTCGTCACCCTCGCTGTCAGATCAGCTGCGCGCAGGCCGAGATGATGGAGGTGCTGGTATCAGTGTAGAATGCCGGATTTGTGGAGACAAAGCCTCGGGCTTCCACTACGGCGTGCATGCCTGCGAGGGCTGTAAGGTGAGTGGACCGCTGCCTTTGCTTTTGTGTTGCTGTTCTGGCCCTGCAGAACCTAATTCCATTTTAAGTCCGCCTCAGTTCTTGGTATAACTCTGCATTTCAGCTACTTGTATTTTTGTATCGTCAGCATAATTGCTACTCTCGGTAATTTGTGTATGTGACGATCCCCTCCTGTCTACTCTCCGTCCTGCAGGGCTTCTTCCGGCGGACCATTCGTATGAAGTTGGAATACGACCGCTGTGAGCGTAGCTGCAAAATCCAGAAGAAGAGTCGGAACAAGTGCCAGTACTGTCGTTTCCAGAAGTGCTTGGCACTGGGCATGTCCCACGATGGTGAGGGGGCTCTGGGCTCAGTGTCTGCATGACCTGGTCAGACAGCAAGGCCCTTCTCTTCAGAAGCTGTGGGCAGAGCTGCAGCATTTGTCTGGGGATAACATAGAGATATCAGATCACAACAAACTTAATTACCGTAGTATTATTTATAGTTTTCTTAAAACCAGTGGCAACAGCAGCTTAAAAATGTCTGTTTGCGGTAGTCTGTGAAGCTTAGGTTCAGTTTTCCTTCAGAAGATTAATGTTCTCATTATATTTTTGCTATGGATAGAAGAGCACATGTTCCCTCTTCTGGGGAACCGAGTTTGTATGGCACTGTTACAAACTGCAGCGTCCTACCTCTGTGCTCTCAGCGATCCGGTACGGCCGCATGCCGGAGGCGGAGAAGCGCAAACTGGTGGCCGGCTTGCTGGCTGGGGAGCGCAGCCCACAGAGCCCTGGTGGCTCAGACCTCAAGTCACTGGCCAAACAAGTTAACAACGCCTACCTGAAGAACCTCAACATGACCAAGAAGAAAGCCCGCAGTATCCTCACTGGCAAAACCAGCTCATCCTCGGTAGGAAGGAGGTCGGCGGGAGACTTTGTTTCTTGGTTCTGTCTGCTCTTACTTACCTGCTAGCCCTGTGTTGGCTGCTCTCACCCAAAGTCAAGCCCCTGCCTGTTTGTTTCCTCTTGTAGCCCTTTGTCATCCATGACATGGACTCGCTCTGGCAGGCTGAGAACGGCCTGGTGTGGAACCAGCTCATCAATGGTGCTCCCCCTAACAAAGAGATTGGAGTGCATGTTTTCTACCGCTGCCAGTGCACTACCGTGGAGACGGTGCGCGAGCTGACCGAGTTCGCCAAGAACATACCGGGCTTTGTCAACCTTTTCCTCAACGACCAGGTACATGAAGATCCCCTAACCAGAAGTGTGAAAACATTCTTTCTAAAATGGCTCAGAGAAACTGAGCATATTTCAGTACTGAGGGCCATTTACAGCCCAGTTATTCTCACTACAGTAGTCCTCATTATTTAAGTCTTTAAACTCACTGGAGAGAAAAAAATTAATGCCCCCTCTCTTTTTGGAAATATTTTTTGTAATTATAATTATAGAGGTTTGTAGAGTCTAATTGATTATTTATGTTTCTCATAAATGCAAAAAAATCATTGTAAACTTGAGACTTGATCCAGTCCAAGAAACATCAGAGTGCTGTTTAGGACCCATTGTGTGAGCACCTGCTTCTCGGCAGGTAACCCTGCTGAAGTATGGCGTACATGAGGCCATCTTTGCCATGCTGCCCTCGCTGATGAATAAGGATGGCCTGCTGGTTGCCGATGGCCGTGGCTTCGTCACTCGTGAGTTCCTGCGCAGCCTGCGCAAGCCCTTCAGCGAGATCATGGAACCCAAGTTTGAGTTTGCAGTTAAGTTCAACGCTCTGGAACTGGACGACAGTGACCTTGCTCTCTACGTGGCTGCTATCATCCTCTGTGGGGGTGAGTCAGGCGAAGGATCTGCTCTGCCGTCATCTGCCTGCATAGCTTGGAGAAGGTGGTTGTCCTTCATATACTAAGAGTAGTATTGATCTTGCTCTTAGACTGACTGAACAAAGAAATTATATCTGTTTTAAGTCCGCGAATGTCCTTTGCATCACCCTTTTTGATTTTGATGAAGAAAAGGGGTTATATTTCTAAGGGAAATTTATAATAAAAAATAATGAATGAATGAATTAAGCCTTTCCTGAGCTCTGGCAGGTATGTGTGTTTCACATGCCAAAATGGTGAAGCAAAAACCTTTTTGAATTTTTTTTTTTTTATTAAAATGGAATGCCCCATGTTGAAATAGATACTGGTACACACACTGAAATGGTAGATGTGACTCTTACGCTCTTATGGGCACCGCTGTCAATGGGAACACGACCTCAGTTGACCTCTCCTTATTCTGCCTACATACAGATCGACCTGGCCTGATAAACGTGAAGCAGGTAGAGGACATTCAGGATGGCATCCTACAGGCCCTGGACCAGCACCTGCGCGCCAGCCACTCAGACTGTCCACACCTGTTTCCCAAGCTGCTGCAGAAGATGGCTGACCTCAGGCAGCTGGTGACAGAGAATGCCCATCTGGTGCAGAAGATCAAGAAGACGGAGTCCGAAACGTCGCTACACCCGCTGCTGCAAGAGATCTACAAGGATATGTACTAGGCTTAATTTAAAGACCTGCACAGTGTATAGATATATATGATATTTTTGAATATATAGACATGCACTCACCAATATAATTGTGTGTGTGTGTTTGTGTGTGTGTGTGCGCGCACACCTGCGTGCTTGTGTGTGTGAAAGAGAGAGAGAGGTTCACATAGCCATGGATTTGAGAGCTGTTACATGGCAAGACAGATGTAGCACAAAGATTTGTTTTATGCTGACGGCGCTTTGGGGGGGTTCTTTCTGAAGCGGGGACATTCCCGGAGAATGCTCTCAAATGCTTCCCACTTCTGTCTGCTTTTTCTTTTATGGATAGTCATCACTTTTTTTTATAAGTGGTATTTTTATAGACCATTAAGTTTTTAGTTGTTTCTGCATCCCCATGACCTGATCTCTTGTGTTGTCTATGATTGTCACTTGCCTGATCTGTTTCCCATAGACATTATGAGTAATATGTAGGTCTGGCAATGTGTTTATAGGTCAAGGATGAACAGAGTCCAGAGAAAGCTTGAAGCGTGTCGCAGAGGTGAGCACTCAGGGTGTGCATGTCTTAGGTGGACACAATCTGGGCCTTGTCGGCTTTGTAAGTGACCTCGGAGCTCCCAGGTGTGCTTCGGTCCCACTTAGAGACCTGCTTCAGACTGTATAGCTTTGTCTACGTAGCTCTTCGTCATTGTCAAAATAATCAATGATCCTGCATCTCCACTATACCTGTGATCTAACGGACAGTGCACACACCATTAAGGCGGCATCTACAAGCTACTTCAGAAGGTATCTTCGTTCTCTGGCATCCGCAGTGCCACTCTGTGGTGCTCTACAAGCAGGCCTGCCCTGCCATTTCCTCCACACGCTGAGCTGTGTTACTTAGGGTCAGGCACTGTAAGTTGCTCTTACCAGTTCTGTAAGATGCCACCATAGAATGACAATCATAATGTTTCTTGGTTTAGCCAACATGTTTGTTAACATTAAAGAGGAATAACTTGATTTTCTGGCATGTGAGAGCTGGGCAGCATCAGAAAAGGTCAGATTTAAACCTTTTTGGGTCAGCAAACACATCCAGGCTTATAAAAACGTGCGGCTGCTTTTTAGAATGTCAGCCTGTGGGTAAATGGTGAGCAGTATTAACTGTTGTCCTTAAACTGAATTTGGTGAAAGTACTTAGTAAGGCAGAAGTATTGAATTTCTAGTAGACATATCTGTGTTATCCCTTCAGCCATATTTTGTCATGTAATGATTAACTCACTCATGTAAGCAGCACTTAGTATCTGGGGTAACTTGGAAATGTCTGATGGACACAGTTGGGATTTTATTACAATTATACTGAAGAAGCCTGTTTTTATCTGTGATTACAGTCATGACCTCGCAAACCAAAAAATTATTAAAGGAAGCCATCTTCATGAGTCACTGCTAGATTTAGCATGGGCATCTGGTCCAGTATCGTGATTAGCTTGGTTGATTGTCATGACATCTCCTGGTTCCTTGGGTAAACTTGATCTTGTATGTCCTGGTCTACTAATAATCTGACATCAGTGGGACTGCACTTTATACAAATTCAATAATATACACATCACTCTGATTTGTATTGTATTTCCTTTAAAATAGCAGCGTAATATTCTCCCTTCCTTTATATCGATTATTTTATTGTACTACATAGCATCCAGATGGATACATCGCTTTAATTTAGGTGTGCTTCAAGGAATCACACTCAAACATCCCACTTCCTTGGAGACTGTACCTTTATTATTGTAAAGCTCTTTATGCTGAGATGTGATTATGTGACTTATACCCCAATATAATCTTCAATGTTTTGATTTACCAAACGGAAAGAAACTTCCCCAAATCACAGAGCCCACGGTGCTTTGCATGTTTTTGTTGCCCTATAGCACTTATGCCAGTCTTGCGGTTTAACATGAAATCCTGTGTTTTGTGTTCTCTAATGGTCTTTGGTTGTCAGAAACATGGAGACCATTTTCCACTCGGACCAGGGGCTGCATTGGCTTAAATATTGGGTTATTTTATTGGTATAAGAGTTATTTCCAGCAGATCAGCCACACAGACTCTAAGGGGTTTGAAAGGGTCTGCCTCCTTCAGAAGAGGGAGCTGTAAGCGCTGAGGATGGAAAGAGACGTGTGATATTTTAGTTTTAAAGCAGCGGTTTGCTGTATAAAGGATTAGTACTGTGTGAACCGTAATTTTAAGGGGGAAAATACAGTTGTCTTGTTTTAGCCACATTTTAAATGAAGAATGTTCTGAAGTCCTTTCCCTGCCTGTGCTCTCCTTATCACAGCAAAGCAAGCGTATATGATTATGCCCATAGTGTCCATTTTCTTCCCAGATTTCCAGCTGGTTGGTCCTCCTCTTTGAAAGCACTCTATTTTCAAACTTCCACACAATGTCCAGTCAACCTTTAGTCCTTTTGGTGGTGACTGCCTCTAGCTGCTGAACTTACTAAAAATTCACCTGTGATCAGTCGGTGTCCTCATTCACTGGCAGCAGGCCAAGGGCAGTGCTCCAAACTTAAACTACATCACAGGCATCACCATCTTAAAAGTATTTACACGACAACTTCCCAGTAATGTTCAACAGCACTGAAACTGTTATGCTGTCAGAATTCTCTTAAGAACTGTTCCTTATCCCTGTAGTCACAATATGTGTCCCTAGGAACAAGCTTGATGCTTCTTTTGATTTTGAATCTGTACCATGACAAAATATCTCAAAGCAAGCTGGGGATTTTTACTTTTTCTTGTATTTCTGGCCCTGAGGTCTGAGGAAGGTCAGTGTTTCCCTTCAATAACAATCTGTTATTGTTTGTGGGATGTGCATGGAATCTGACCTTTCACCCCTTTACAGTTCTCTCTCTCTCTCTCTCTCTCTCACTGGGAAAACTGTGATTCTTGGTCCAATGAGGTTCATCTCCGAACTGACAGCTGTTCTCAATGCCACCTGTGAAATCTACCTCTATGACTCTTTTCCCCTATAGACATTTAAGAAGTCTGTTGCACAGCTCCAGAACACAGAGTGGTATTGCCATTAAGTAGAAAAAAATGTAACACAATATTCCTTATTTTAATAAAACATTTTTTCTTTCCCAAAATGTCTATAGTTCGAACTTGGCCATCTGTGTTGCTCTCACTTTCTGTTTCGTTTTGGATGAAAGCAGACCTCAGATTGATAGACTGCAGCAGGCTGCCTGTTGGTAATTGATTTATGCATTGGAACATAGAACATCTTTTAACTGCTTTTCAAACACTATTTGTGGGCAGTGTTCTGCTTTCAATGTGTACATTGCCAAGTCCATTTTAATAATAGGTGTGAACCCCCCCCCCCACACACACACACACACACACACACACACACACAGATGCACATGCACGGAATTAAAAATTTTCTTGCACCTACAGGAGAGACTGGTCTCATAAACGCTACAGAACAATGTCTTTAAACAAGTGTTCTCTAAGGACATTATCCAGGAGCCCCTTAACCAGGCCTCTCCAGCTGGGAATGGAGTTAGCAGATGTGTCCCAAACAAAGGCACACAGCACCACTGCTGTGACCGCTGCCCATTGTCCTTCTTGAAAGTGGAATCCAAATATTATTGATGTGTTCCAGGACTTTCTACCCCCACTTCCTAATTAATGTGTGATAGGAAAGGGGAAACATTAAGATGTGTGGTGGATTTTTGGTTCCAACAAGCTTTAAACCCATATGTGTTTGTGAGTGTGAAGTAATCATTATGTAGTGAGCTGAAACACAAAATACTTGTGCCTGTGGTTGGTCTTCCCTATATTGTCTGATGACAGCTGGTCACCAATTGTTCCCCTCATTCTCAGCCGTTTGCCGTGGACGTGCCACAGCATCTGGACTGTCATCAGTCAAGCCCACGGAAGCCCCTTAGATTTTACATTGTGTGCTACGTCCCTGAGTCACTCATGCTTCCTGAATCTTGGAGTAGCCCAGAGCACAGGACAATGATGTGCTTCCCCAAAGACCAGAGGCTTCCAAAGCCCAGGGAAGCAAAGACCCAGGAGTGGCGAGTATAGAGAGACCCTTATGCAGAAACTGCACTGCCTACTGTAATGCAGAGTAACAGACACTAAAATGATCTCAAGCTTAAAAATCAGACCAAATGTTGCCTGTTGCAGTCTCTCTCAATCCTTTGGTGAAAATCGAATGTCAAGTCCTATGGACACTTAGCAGAAAGTGTTTTTATATGTAGATGTCCTAACCTTTGCAAAGCTACTTTAATCAATAAAGAAATATATCTAACAATTCTGAACAGCCAATGCAAAAGGCAAAAATTCTAATGCACATGATCTTTTTTGTAATACTTTTGTAGCTAGTAAATATGTGTCACTGGGCAAATGTACTCCATGAGACTTGAGAAAGTATTCCCAGATATTTTGATGAAAAAATAAACCTCAATTTTATCATTCTGGCTTTGTTGTTATTTTTCTATAGACACTCCTGTACTAATTTTTTTTTCAGCCACAAAGCATGTTACCAAATTAGACAAACACTGAGAATCTCCCACATTCCTGTTCCCCCTTCCCAACAGTAGTAAACACCTCATTACTCTACTAAATGATGAGGTAGCATCATAACCCATGCCAAAGTGGTTTACATTTACGTAGGGACAGCTCAGTGGCTGTCCCTTCCATATACACTGTAAAGGCTGACCGTCCACAGTACTTGAGCCTAATTGTGGTGAATATGATATAAAGGATAAACATTTCCAATAACATATACAGTGTAAAGAAAAGTATCAAGTACTTATGTGGCCCCCACCCACATATAATTTACAAATTCAAGGACCCATGTGAAGTGCTGCATCTGCCTGGGAAACCCCACTGTGCCTCGATTATCAATAATCAATAATTGTTCTTAGAACTCGCATGCAAGGTTAGAGCAGCAGTAAGTGAATGTCCAGGCAATACAGCTCCTTCTGTAGCCTTCTTATTCCATGAAATTCTTGCAATAGTATTGTATGGCATATCTTATCCGTACAAATTATGACTGTTGAGCAACAAAACAATGCAGTTACAATACAGATAGCTATCTCACATAAAATCCTTACCTTAAATTTTACAAAAGATATAACCCGAATCATATAATATTCATAACATGTACATGTAAGATGTGATTAACAAAGATCCTATTCGCAGTTCAGCTTGCGATTGGCTGGCCATAAGCACACAGGTTCCCCGTACTTGATTTTCTTTTGCTATTGGCCGTGTGATCATGAACCTCCTTAATGGGCCACACCCAGGTAATATATAGGCAGAGCCATTTAATCTTTGTACGTTAGTAAATTGGGCACGGACACGGAAATGGAGAAGGGGTCAAATGGCAAGCCTCTGGTTGCTGGCGCTCGTGGAGGTATTGTTTGCAGGTATTCTAGGTTTTAATCAAACTTCTTGACTGTGTTGTATGAACACGACGTAGACTGAGTTTCCAGGAGGAGCTTCTGTTATAACCGAATTTACATAGATTGTATTCCGCCCCCCCCCCCCCCCAAATGCGTAAATTGTACCTTAAAGACGTGAGTTTCATTTTAAGGTTCTGTTTATGTAAAGACTAAGTCTATGGTTCCTTTCCTGTGTCCAACGAAACTAATATCCATTGATGTTTTTTTATAAAGCAAAATTGCAACAGGGAAAGTTGGTCTTCTGCACACATCTGCAGATAATTAAACTGCGTCTGAGTTGCGCCAGCGGCTGGTTGGGAGTCGCGCTGTGACGTAGCGGCGGTGTCATTCGATCCCATGCAAAGCTCTGTAGCTCGAAGACCGAAATGGAGCGAAGTGGCGTTATGTATAGGAATGCCGGCCTTTATGCCTTGAATGCATATAGGGCGCCTTGCAGGTAGGAAGCAGCTGTACACTTAAGCTGTCTTAAACTGTGCCCGAAAGAACTTCGTACTTGTAGTGTAACGACGCTGCATTGGCTCGGTATGGCAGTCTTCCCCCCCCGCCCGCCTCGCCTTCAATGTTTACATCCGGCTTCGCAGCACAAAGGATCCCACGCTCCGCGCGTCTCAACTTCGGTTTGCGTGCAGGGCTCTCCGTTGCAAGCGGTCTTGCTGTCGGACTCTCAGCTCCTCACGTAGTTTTGCTTTGCTGCCACGGTGCAATTAAACTGACCAGTGGGCTTCTCTTGTGTTAAGTGCTTTGTCGAGTGTCATTTGTTTTGTATTCGTTGCGAAAATTTTGAACGTTCGTTACGTTCAAAAGTTTCCATTCGGTTGCATCCAAATTCGTTAGTTTTTGAAAGGTTGTGACTTAAAATTTCACCTGGATTTTAGCTCAGCTGAAAGTGACATACTTTAACAACAAAAAGATTCCCAACGGAACGGGGATGTCTAGAAAACGCAGTGAGCAGTTAGTGTCCTGAGTGTGTGTCTCTTTCAGGCAGTTCCTCAGTGGCTCTTGCAGATTTGGCCCCAGTTGTCACTTCTCACATGAGCTGCCATCAATGCCAATCTGCAGATACTTCCAGAAAGGAGTCTGCTGGTTTGGAGACCGCTGCAGGTGAGGCTTTTTAATTCATTAAGAACTAAGTCTGTCTGTAGAGACTTGGTCTCGTTATCTGGGACCTCTGTTAAACCAAAAAATGTGTTCTAGGTACCAGCATGTCCCCCACCCTGGCAGCATGATGTCAGAGAGCAGACGGGCCTCTGCTCCAGTTGTCCAACCCCCGACGTGGGGCTTTCACCTGTTGCCAGGGCGCCGTGGCTCTGAGCCCTCCCTGTCGCCCATCCCGGGATCCCAGACGTGGGGCCGGCGGCGCTCCGACCCCCTAGTGTCTGGCATGGTTTTACAGCAGTCTAGCTTTGAGCACCTGCCGACAGACATCGTTGAAGAGGAAGAGCATGGGGTCGGTGAGCCTGTTCCCAGGCCTCTGCAGGGTAGTCCATCAGACTTGTACCGACTGTTTCTGTAGCCTTCCAGAGCACAAGATCATTCAGCAGTTTAATGGTGGCCGAATAATTATTTGATATTGAACAATTCCTAATGTTTCTTGCTGTAGTGTCAGGGTCGGACTCCGCACACTCCAGCTGCAGTGTGCCCTTTACAGTCTCCCAGTTTGGCTCTGGTCCTGTATGCAGCGGTTCCCTGGCCACCAGCCCCCTTATAATTGAAGCGGACTCCGTTCCCGGCGCAGCAGAGGAGACAAACCAGGGACCCAGTGCTGGGACAGAAACCATGGTTTGTCTAATGCAGCTAGTCATATTTGCACTCTAAGACCATTCAGCATGTGGAAGCCTGTGCAGGCATCTTTCTTGACTGCTAGTGAAATTTTTTGACTTAAAGTGTAAAATATAGGGGAAATACCCCTTTTAGCTGTAACCTTTCAGATTCAACAATATTGTGGTTCCAATCAAATTAATAGTGCAAGATTTGGCGTTCTGAAGTCATCGTGTAGTTGTGACTGAGGGTGAAGAACTTAATGATTCCCTAGTATGATTGTTAGCTTAACGACCCTGACATGGAAGTGCTGGTGGGGGGGAAAAGCCCTCAGCTCCAGGTACTTTAGCAGTGGCTTTGGTCTTGGTGATGTGATTCGTTTAGCCCAGGGGTGTCAAACTCCAGTCCTGGAGGGCTGGAGCCCTGTGTAGCTTAGTTCTTTCCCTGTTCCACCATCAATGATTCAGCTCATGAGCTGTGTGGTAATTAGCACAAGGAGCTGAATCAGGTGTGTTAAACGAGGGGAAACCCAAAAATGTGCAGGGCTCTGGCCCTCCAGGACTGGAGTCTGACACCTGTGGTTTAGACAATGCTGGTAACATTGCAAATTTATTGCTAACTCCCCCCCCCCCCCCTAGTTGCTTCAGACCAAAGCTGCCCTTATGCATCTTCCCCTTGTCTGGATCTTTGTAGAAGACTTCCAACCAGCAAGAGATGGCGGATGGTGCAGCAGCAACCTTAACTGGGCCTCTGCCTGAGTATGAGCAGAGCAAGGACGTGGCCTGTGGCATCTGCATGGACAAGGTGTACGAGAAGGTTTGCCCCCAGGACAGGCGCTTCGGCATCTTGCCCAACTGCAGCCATGCCTTCTGCCTGGGGTGCATTGTCACCTGGAGGAAGACGAGGGATTTCCAGGAAGAAGTCATCAAGTGAGGACAGGCTCAGATGTTCACTGGGATTTAACAGCATCTGTCTGCAGCTCAGCCTTTACTGTAACTGCATCTTCTGATTTGGCTGCATTGAAGTAACTTCCCCTGTTTTAAGCACTATAATCAAGTCTTGAGCTATACATGGCTTTACCCAGTGGAAAATGTTTTTAATTTCCCTGTTATACTGGAGTTTAAACTTTGAGAGATTAATACAAAAGTACTTCTCTCAGATGTGTATATGCTGCTTGACTGTTTTGGAACATCACCCATCTGTCCCCTAGAGCCTGTCCCCAGTGCAGGGTGAAGTCCCCGTATTACATACCCAGCAAGTACTGGGTGAGTGATGGGGAGCCCAAGCAGACGCTGATCGCTGCCTTTAAGGAGAAGAGCAGGTTGGTGCCACACGACTGCTTGCTTGCTAATTAATAGTCATAGAGGTGATGACAACAGTAGTAATGGTGATATTTAAATACTTTTCTGGTCAATAATTCATTGTCCTTCCTCCCTAGTAAAATCAGGTGTACCTTTTTCATGCGACATGGATGCTGCCCCTTTAAATCTGAATGCATCTACCGCCATGACTTACCCAGTGGCTACCAGCCTCGCAGATGCCGTTCTCCTACGGTAATGCACCTTAAGTAGCTACTGACCACTGTTCCCTACCCTGTTGGCAAATCTGTCAAGCAGGCTATAGGAATTCATTGCCTTGTAGTGCAAATGTGTAAATGAATAGTAGTAATCCTTCCTAGTATAACTGCATGCTGATACTCACTGGATTTAGTTTTGGCTGCAGTAAGTTTGGACTTTGGTCTGTTTTCATGGTCTAGATGTTATTGGTGTACATTTGTAGCAATAGTATAGCTTCTACTCTTGGCACAAAATTTTAACTTTGCCATCAGGAGCTGCTCACTCATTAGTCTCCATGTGCATCTTCAGTGACTTGACTTGTGTGCAAGGAAAGTCATACGGTACATTTCACTTAATTCTGTGCAAGAATTGTGCTAAGGCCTAATTAGCTTGTCCAAACATTCCAGCATGTGTTAGCAAATCAAGCAGAAGTTTGTGTAGTTCTGTAAGATATGGAACCACCTAGAAAATGACTGACTGCAAAATAATCAATTTTTGCAGCTAATCAGCCATTTGCAGCATTTACTGTGAGGTTTTCCTTTATGGGTGTGCCAGGTAAAACAAGCACATGCAGTGATAGCAGTGACTTTAAACAACTGGCTGTGAAATCCTGGCAGTTCACATCCATAGTACGATGTGCAGGTATTGGTAGAATGTCATTGTAGGTTATGTATATATTACACTGCCAAAAGTTATATTTTGTTTGTTACTTATGGTTAAGGTTAGAGCTGGGTAGGGGTTAAGGCTGTCATTGTTGGGATTAAGCTTTTCCCCCATAGAAATGAATGAATGGTCCCCACAAAGAGGAATACAATTTTGTGTGTGGAATATGGTTGAAGTTGAGTATTTAATGGTACTTGGAGTTTGAATGTAATGCTGCATTTAAAAATCCACCAAAGGGAATAGTCTACATCAGGTTGAAGGAAGGACATAGGATGGAGTGCTTTGTTCTCGGCGTGTAGGCTAACCCTCTGCACATAGGCCTACAGCAGGACCTTGGAGGAGCTTGATGGTGAGAGCCTACAGCTACTGCACTGCTTCATCGCTCTGACCCTGTTGGACAGCGACGACTTTCTGGATGAGGATGATGAAAGCTACTTGGACGATGACTACGAGTCCCTCTGAGCTGTTTCCACCACCTGCTGACCAAGGTTTCCTGTTAAGGGACAAATCAACCCTGGTAGCTTAGGTGGTTTGGGGGGGGGGACTTCGGTCTGTGCACAAGGTACAGCTAACTTCTTGGGTCAGATTATCACCCTCACTGACTTCTGTTCCCCAAAGTTTCCACTTATTTGTCCGTTTTTGAATTTGTAACGATAGCCTGTGGCCATTTTGTTGAAATGGCTCATTTGTTGTACAAAATGATTATCTGAAGAAAATTCAGAATGGGGGGGGGGGGGTTAACAGCCAAATTGTTTTTCTAATTCAATGGCAGTATTGCAGAAAATGACTGAATGGTCTGAATATGACTTGTTAAAGGTGCTTTTTAAGATTGTATAGTGCAATTAAGTTAATCGATCTTGCTAGATGCAGAGAAGAGGGAAATCTCTGAATATTGTATTGCTTGTTATAATTAATCCATTCCATTATTGGAAATAGTGAGTGTATACTACCTTAATGTATGAAACAAGATTTTAGATTGCATTGTTAATTTTTATACATGAACTGAAATGGAATGTTAAGTGTCCCCATCCCACCCATGCTACTTTTAAAGTCTCCTAATGTGGGGGGGGATAACTTTCTATTAGTGAAAGCCCAGGTGCTTGGTGTCCGACTGTACCAATGGAGTTCACTTTGAAGGGTTTTTTTATTATATGTTCACATTGGAAAAAAGAATAAAACATTTGTTTCACAAACGTGTGCTCAAATGTAAAGTCTCCGTGCTTTGGGGTATTTGGCGTGTCTGTGGTCAGGCCAAAAAAAAAAACCTTTTAAATACATGTCAAATGTAGACACTGGTTTAGGAAGCACCTGGAATACGGTGCTATTGTAATGTTCCATAAGAATTATGGTGATACTGATATGTGGAGAAGGGACACGTATTAATCAATGGTTGTACAGTCGTGTGCAAACTTGTCAGCTGCTGCTTTTGTGACTGTATCGACGTCCCACATCTCCGGTACGTTCCCTGATCATGACAGCGGCAACCGATGCGTAATATATCGGAACTCTGACGTTCAACGGCAGTAAAGTTAGCCGACACCCCCGTTTGCTTATTTCCCCATAATTTGCGGGGTGGTTGGGGTACTTGTGAACGGCAATACCGCCCAGGTCTGCCAGCATCCATCCTTTCCTGGTTATCCCGCATCCGCCTCCCTGAAATCAATATGCCTGAGGTGGGATGTCTGCGATATAATATTGTTCGATGAGACCGTACCCTACGCATTTCGTCGTCCCTAGATCAGATTTACTCAGAAAACAAAACCCCTGGAATCATAATCCAGTTCAGTTTCCCTGCTGAAAAGCTAACTTGCAGTTATCAAGCAATAGACCATTAGGTGGCGTATTGCCAACATTTTCAGTGCAGTCTATAAACATTTTCCGAATTTTTTTATTTACATAAAGGGTAATGACATCCTCAGATTTTTAAAATGTACTTGGGTGTAAATGCGATATTCTAAACTAATGTGTATAAAACTGTAGCTGATCAGGAGGACTTTTACTTTGCAAAATACAGGCGGTTTCCTGGGAAGTTTCGAGACCAGTGACGCATTTCCGGTCTCCTGCTAGACGTTTCATTTTCAATAATTTCGCGGGAATATCCAGTCAGTGCTTTATGTCAAAATGTAGCTTTTAATCTGTCACTGGCTAAATTTGTATCTGATTTTTAGCTGGCATTGGTCGTTGTGTTGCCATGGATGTGGAGCGCTTGTTGTGGCGCTTCGACGGGCGCACTCGCTTGCTCTTCCAGTCGCTGCTCTCCGGTGTGCGAGGAATCAGCAGAGCCGTGCGGCTGTTTCACCGCCAGCGGCGCTCCGACCCGGACATCTCGTTGCGTGCTTGTCTGGACACCTTGTGCATGGAGGAACCACACATCGTCGGGGACAAGCTGAATTTATCGTTGTAAGTTTGGCGTTAGGCGGTCACTCGGCGTCTTAGATTGTTTCCCTCGATGAAGGTTGTGTAGATTTTAAAGGTTGCTTAAGCTGCTTGTAAAGTAAATGTGTCTCAATGCTGATTTTATCTCACACCGACTGTATCAATATATAACGCCCCCCGAATCTGCTTTCATTGTCATGTGTTTTTGAACTTTAGTTTGACATCTTCCCCTTGTCACTTGCTGTTTGTATGTCACACCGTGGTCCCAGGAAAATGTCATTTCCTGCCACTGTAAATTTGCTTTTGGATGCCATGACAAGAAAACCCACTTGACTTAATTAAATCAATATTTTTATAGATCATTTTCATACTCATTATGTATTGTCTTTCTTATTTTTAAATTTGACCTGCTTCCCGCAGAACCCCATTGGTCTGTCTGTTCCCTGTTGCCTTCAAGTGTGGTCTGTTGTCCTTCCTCCATCTGATCTACCCCCTGGTCCCTGGGCCCTGCTTGATTCGGCTCCTGGACTGCCTTAAGCAGGACCCTGCCCAGGATCCCTGGATCCATGTCTTGCTTGGTCAGCTCTGTCGGGATCTGGCCCTGGATGATCCCTTGGGAGGTGAGCTGTACTCTGCATATTGTAGGAACAAACTTGAGCAGTTCTGTCAGAGGCTGGGCAATGCTGACCACAGTGCATTGAGTCTGGGGAGTGCTTTTGGTGACCTGCCCCCCACAAGACCTCCCCAGGAGCCTGTGGGAGAGCCAGATCTTCAGCTGCATGGAAAGAGAAGAAATGAGGCTTCTGAGGTGGCAGGGAGCCAGAGTAAAAAAATGCGACTGGACCTCCCTGCCACCCAAGAGGATGATGGGAACAAGGAAGCACTGCCATCGCAGGCCCAAGACATCGTGCAGGAGACAGCAGCCTGGACTGCAGGGGATGTTTGCATGGTGGACTTCCGGGAGCCTCAGCAGTCATTTCCTGATGGTACCAGTTTGGTGCTGCCTGAGCACATTAGGGTAAGATTCTGGAGATCTACAGGGATGCATTAACACAATAATAGCAACTAAACCAGAACAAATGGAAATGAATTAAAATAGCAGTCTGCTTCTTCTCATTTTATGCGGCCTTTCCCACTCCAGGCTTCTGTTACTGGAATCAAAGAACTTTTAGAGACTACAGGAGAGGTCAGTATGTCTGCAGAAAACAATATCAGGATTTCAGTCATTGTAGAATATGTCTTGGCTGGTAATAACATGGCTTAGTTTAATCTCATTTTTCCCTAGTGGGTCAAAGACACTGACTCAGTTCTTCAAGTGCTGAACGAGTGTGAACCACCCCAGGTGAGCGTCTCTGCGTAGCTTTAATAGAGACTCTTTTCGATTGAAATAGTGGTTAATAATTTGGCACAAATTAATTCAAGCCAATAGGATGCACACCTATGGATCCCAAAATACTCGTAAAGAACTGTGGACTGTTTAGAGTATATGAGGAATTTAATGAGAGCACACACAGAAGGAACATTGTGATTTTTTAAAAATGAATGAAAGCGTCAGTGAAAATGACTTTTTGTTGACTCCAGGGGACAATATAGACAGCAGAAAATGTTATATCTTTTGTGGAGACTTGTTAGTATTCCTATTCTTTTGGCGCTGTTTTATTTGCATTTATTTAATTGGCTGACTTTTGTCCAAAACGTCCTAAAGTGAGGCAGATACTACATGGCAAGCATACAGCTGTCAAGTGCTGGGTTCAATAATAATTTTAAACACCTCCTCTCTAGGCTGTTCACAGTGACTGGTAAAACACACAGAAATACTGGGAAAAAAGGCTATATTGACAATTGCCATTTGCCTGTTTTTCCCATAGGTGGAGCTGCTGTGCGCAGAGCTGCAGCTGTCAGAGATTCCGGAGCAGATCCTGCCGCCTCTTTGCAGTGGCCTGCTGTCTCTGTGCCCTGACCTTAGCCAGTGCACGGCCACTGTGCTCACTAGGAGCCTCTTTTTCAAAAAAGTATGTTTTTTTTCCTGAGTTATACATTTATAGATACAGGTTCCCTTTGATCTTAAAGTTATGTTGCAGCCTCCGCTGCTCCTTGTTCCCTGCAGGTTCTCTCACTCCGGGATCCGGCCTCTCGCTCCCTGCTCTCCGCAGTGACCTCATTTGGCCGCCGCTACCCCAGGCCGGCCTGCTCTGCGCTGATCAGCCCCATTTTACAGTCAGGCCAGATGAGTGCGTTTAGTCAGTACTTACTTCTCCACTTCTCTCCGTATGTTGCTTGTACATTATCCATAGTCCAATTGCTTAATCATTGTAAAGTCACAGGCAGGCTGGAGCTTATCCCAGCTGACATGGGACACAAGGCAGGGGAATTCCCAGGACTGGCTGCCGTCAAGGGCGTACACACAAATAAGCACCAGGCACAGGCAACTGAGAGCTACCAGCAGACCCAGCATGTCTCTGCCAGAGGAGAGTTGTGCGAAATGGGGGAGCACATGCAAACACCATAAACATGGGGGAGGGGAGGGGTTTGTGCTGATAGGCTACAGAACCACACTCAGTCAACGTGCTGCCTTGACCTTTATACAGGGCTCATTTTAAGTATTTTCTTTAGTTTTTAGTGTAACAAAGTAAGCATTAATCGCTTATCTGCCTGTAGTGGATCTCAGCACAACTGTTACCCCACTCCCAGTGAAACAAGGGCATATGTGTAAGAATGTAGTGATCAACAATAGTTACTGTTTCATATATCTTAATAGCACACATTTGAGCTGTAATGTAGATTGAAGTACAGGTAGTTCTCAATTCACGAGGATTAACGTGAGTCAGTTGTATGTAAGTTGAGAGCTACCTGTAATTTAAAATAAGTTAATTCATCCTGTGTATTTCTGCTATGTTTATAGCAACTGCCTGCATTTCTGTATAAAAGTATGCATTTGCTGGGATCTGGTCTTTGGGATAGCTAAGGTACTTGGAATAGTAATGAGTATGTTAGCTGTAACTCATAAGAACATAGGTACAGATAGGATAAGACACTTCTCAAGCTGGCATCTTTGACAGTCTGGACCACTCAAAGGTGTGAATTTCTGTTGTTTTGTGAGAAGACAGGGTCCAAGCTGAACTGCTGTGTCGACTGATTGGGGACTGCCTTGAGCCCCAGTATCAGCTGCTGATATTTGGGTATGTGTCTAATTAGATGATGATGATGATGATGATGACTGCAGTTATGAAGAATCAGACAGCCCTCTTGTTCTCAGGGAGACGCTTGTGCTGAGCTGGGGTGAGGAGGTCTTGTCAGTGGTGCACACCCTGCTGGATTCCAAGGTGAGCACTTTAGGTTCTGCTTTTCACAGCTGGGTTACAGTCCTCAGCTAGATATTTGGTGTAGTCTAGGGGTGGCCACTCTTATCTGCAAAGGGCCGGTGTGTGTGGTGGGTTTTCGCTGCAACTCCGTAATTAGATTACTAAATAGAGGACTGATTGGCTGAAGAGTCCTCACACCTGGGTTTGAACAGCTGACGTACAAGTTGTCCCAAAAACCTGCATACACACTGGCCCTTTGCTGATAAGATTGGCCACCCCTGCTCTAGTGCGTTTGAATTTCTGTGATGTTACCCAAGATATTCAAAATATCTGGATATGAAATGTAAAATACTGAATGTTTCTTTTGGATTGTTGTCATTGTAATTGTCAAAGATGTGTTGTAAAAGGGATTCCATGCTCCTTAGTCATAATTTTGACTGTGGACACTAACTGGTAACACCTATGAACACTTGTGTGCAGTGGCAATGGGAGGAGTTTGACATGGGGGGGGGTAATTTTATGATCTTTGTTAGGTATATGTATGTCTGATACAGGACTTTGATTTCCCTTAGGTTTGTTTGTCTGATACAGGATTCATAATGAAAGATAAGGAATGTGTTCTTATTTTTTATTTTTTTTTGGGGGGGGGGTCTCAAGGGACTATAGACCAGTATTTCCTAATACTCTAATACACTTGATATGTGAGTATGTATATGCATATAAAGTCCCTTTTTTGTTTACAGTGATGTTTTAATTGCCTCCTTAGCTTTGTAACAAAGTGATTATTTATGTCATTTAATGAAGTGATTTTTTTTAATGGTTAATTAAGAACAGAGTTAAGTATTTCATAAAGTTTAAAAGTTTAGATTAACGTGTTATTTCACTGTAGAAACCCAGGTTCCAGTTCCTAGCTCAGACTCCCTAAAAGGAACTGAATGTCTAGTTCTTTGATTATGATGCCACCTTCTCTGCTGCAGTAAAAGGCAAAAGCAGCCTCTTTGCAGTGTGTCTCTGGCACCTGCTGTACTGTCTCTTCCATTGGCCTGTGGCACCACAGTGATGTTCTCTGGCGTCTGTCTGTGTCTCACAGCTGGAGCTCACTGAAGAGTTATTCTCGCAGTTTATCACCCATCTGCGCCAGCAGGCGCCCGACTTCACCAAGTCCATGACGTTTGCCAAGATGGTGATCGGTGTCCTTAACAAGTACCCCAGCCGTGTGAGTACTCATCCAAGGACACACAAAGAATGTAACGCCTGCACTCTGCCCACAGACTGACATAACTTTTCACAAGCAAATTCTGTACAGATGAGCATAGATTTGTGATATAATTTAGAACAGAGGGGGCAGAGGAAACCTTTGTAATCATAACCTATTTAAACATGGAAAGGGCAGTAATTCAACACAGAGCAAGAAAAATATATATACTACTACAAACAGCTTTTCTGCTGTTCTTGCTTAATATTCATTTAAAAAGATGGTCTATATATACTAGTTTTACTACTTTTTCACCGGTGTGAAAAGGGTTTTTTGCAATATTTTAAGAGGGCAGCTGCCCTAACATTCACCCACGACTGTAACCTCACTGCCTCCATAGCCTGACTTACCCAC